CATTCTAACCAGAAGCCAAATCTTTCTTATTCACTGTCACAGAAGAGGAAGCCACATTTCAAGAAAAGAAGGAAACGTCACCCTTTGCCAATATATGAGCTTGAAGCACAAAACACAAAAGCCACTTCCTCCTTTGCCTATTGTTTAAACACAATTGTTTCTCAGCAAACTTCCCACGCCTTGAAGCGGTGATATTTGGTTAGGAGGATTGGCTGGAAATACGGTGAAGGTGTTCTGCCCTGCAAAGAACAGGACACAAGTATCAAGTAGAGCCCAGTATTTCTGCCCCATCAGAACGGCAGCCTAGACTTGATGCCAAAGTGGTCCTGGTTAGTGGCTCATACAAACGTTCTTTCTCACCCGGCTCACTGGAAATCAACTGAATCTTGCCCTTAGAATATACTGTCACTTTTGTTTCAAACAAACCTCTCACGCCAAGTGTGCTTGGTACCTGAGATGCTTTAAAACATGGTCCCACAGGGTGATGGTTGCTCAACATTTTGAGTGTTCTAAAAGCCACTGGATATTAATTTAATATGGCTAAAATGGTGAATTTTATGTCATGTGACTTTTATTAAAAAATAATAAATAAATTACTGGTCCCATACGGGTTTAAACAGGGAACCTAGTTGATCCGTTTGGGTTTTGGCAAAATCATATCCATTACCCAGGGATTTTGATGAACGTTATTTTTCATAAAATCCAGACAACATTGGCTTTTTTTTTTTTTTATCTCTGTGGTGATCATGCAAAATGCTGGTGGGGAGAGCATGATATGTTGTAATTCATACAAAAAGTGTGGATGTTAATTCTGCAAATGTCCTAACTGAAGCTTTCTAAATTTTCTTTTTATTCTATGTGGAAATAAAATCACAGGATAGGCTGAAGATGTTTAGGAACTGCATGTAATGCTATTGAGAAAATATCAGAATGGACAAGGATAAGAAATTGTAATTGATAAGATTTGGTGAACCACATCTTGGAGCTGTGGTCTTCATTCAAGGGACAGACAGCTCATGGTGACTCACAGGGAAGGAGCTAAGAGAATAAATGCTCTGACCTCTCTCTCCTCCACTTTTCTGATATCTTGTTGGTGTTTCCCACTGGCCAAAACCAACTGAAAGGCAGAGGTCAAGAAAGTCCATTGTCATACTCCAAAGATGTCAGCATTCCAGACAGACAACTGGATGGATTTGGAGGGGTCAATGGAAGACACCCAGCCCACTTTAAATTCTATTTACTTGTTTATTGGGTCTCCCCCCACCATTAGAATGTAACTTCCATGAAAGGAAAGACAACGTATGTCTTGTTTAGTATCATAGCCCCAGTTTCTAGAGAATGGATACTTCATAAATATTCATAGGATGAATAAATGACATCGTGACAATTCCTTAACATCTACAATCCTCCTGGGTTTTCTCATCTATCTGTCACAGGGTGTTCGGGCTGGACCAGAGGTAGAATTTAGATGCTTCTGGCAAACGATTGAGATACACCCTTATAACGCCTCCAAAACACCTACCTGCATGAGCTGATATGCATGGAGGTTTTGAGAAGATTCCACTGGAAGGAAAAGAGAGAGAAGACAGAAGGGTGGAGAATGTCCATGTGTCCAGCAGACCTAAGTGGCTATTTGGTGGCCCCTTAAGTGAAGGGATAGAATGAGAGATGGTGCCATGGTGTTTATGAGTCAGAAGTGATTCCATGCCCAAGGGCAGCTGCTTTCAAGCTCGGGAGACAATGGCAGCCCCAAGCTGGGGAGAGAA